ATATTTGGATATTTATAAAAACCGCGCTTGACATCTGCATGCGTTATGAAGAAAACATCGGAAAATAAGCTTGTTACAAGCTGAATGAGAACATGCCCATCGTGTAAGCAGCAAAAAAAAGCACTTATGATCATTGTTGAAGATTTCAAGAGTGTTAGGAATTTGTACATTTTTGTAAATAGCAATTGTGAAAGATTTAATTATTTTTTATTATAAATGAGTTATATGACACTACGTTGAATATATTATTTTATAGGTATACGTTGGATGAGATATATAATTATGATCGTCTGAATTTTCATATGCATATCCAACACCGTTATTAACGTCCACGACGTTAATGATGTTAACTCTCCGTTGTTATTATACTTGCATACATGTACAGATATCTATATACGGCGTATCCCACTTCAATTGTATATATATGTCTTTCTTTTTAGCCGTACATTATCCATTTCAAATGATTTCAAATCGATTTCTATTTAACAAACGTGACTCTTTCGTTACTTGACTTTCCCATTACAATCTCTAACAATTTTCTAATGTATATTATTAAATGTCGTATGATGAAATTTTATTAAACGGTATTAAAATGTATGTAAAATTATTTCTATACAAATTTCTGTATGAAATTTCTATATAAAGAAGTTTCTGTATAAAAAAGAAATGATGTGTCTCGAGTAGCGGAAAAAAAAATAATATATTTCAAGTGGGAGGCAGTCTCTATGTCATATTTTTCTTCGTTACACATATTTTATATATATTGCAATATATAATGAAGCATATATTTTTCACGGATATGGATACAAGTTGTGCACTAAACACTTGGACAGGTTTATCATTAAAGTTATATATTTAAATCAACTATATGATTTGTATCTCTCTTAGTGCATATGCTTGCTGTTAATTTGTTAATAGTATAATGTATAACACATTGAATGTCTTAATGACATATAATATGCGTTCTCGTGCATATTAAATGGATGCAAAGTTATTCCTTAGCACTAAGTAACTAAAAATGTCACGATCACTTTTTCGAGAAATGCAATTATGGAAAAACATGTTTATGAAACGTGTGAACACATAATTCTTTGTAGTAGAAGAGAGTACCCATACAATGAGCACATAAATATGTGTATAAAAGAAGTATTAAGTACATAGTTAAGGTAATTAAATTAATAATAATGTTACCTAAATTTAAATTATACATTTTTATATCACATAAGGTTGATAACAAAAATTTATATAGTCCGCAGCATTGAATATTTTTGAAAAACCCTTCATTTATATTAAAAGAAATTGTACGGGATTATGTTATGTGATGCAATAATGTTTCCGTGAGAAAACTTTATTTTCAATTTTAATATTTTTACGCGCTTATACATACATTTTTGATTAATATTTTTTTTAAAGTAATATGCTTTTGTATAACATATATTTAATGCATGTGTATTTATCACATTAGATATCAATTAAAGTATGTAAAAATAAAATTGGATTTAAATGTCATTTTGTATATTCGAGAACCAAAATGCTATTTTATTCTGATGTAGAGAAATTAAATTGCATTTGCACTGGGCTTTCTTCTCAGTAACTGACCGTCTGATCAATTGTTGGAGAAAGACGAGATTTGTAAAAAAAAAAAGCCTAGTGCAACGGTATTTTTATTCTCTCATAGGTATATTCTTTTTTTAGCTAAACTTGCACGATATTTACCTCTTTCCTTTTTTTTCTCATGTAAAAAGGAAAACAGGAAAGATAAACTGTCCAAGAAGTTTAACTAAATAGAATAAACCTTACATCTAAACTGAACAGCATTTTTGTTCTTCACTGTACACTCATTGGTAATTTATGATAATTAAAAAAAAATGAAAATTTGCTGTAAAATAACTATCCATATTATCAAAGTTATATAAAATCTCATCAGAATATTCAGAATTGTTTCCACATTTAATATAATTAAATTTTAAATTTTTTATTTTGAGACCAGTCTGATATCGAAACAAAAACAATATATATAATTTGGGTAATTTTGAAAATATTCACTGCTAATGGTAGTGAAATGTCCGAGGCCTTATCCTATCATATATCGAATAATTAATATGGAACAATAAAAATGATAAACTGTATGCGATATAAGTACGACAAAAAAATTAGTTGACAATTAAACACTGTGATCATTACGTTACTTTATCCTAGAGATGGAGAAAATATTTTAACAAAACAAAATTATTAGTCGTAAAGTATAATATTTTTCTTTTTGTCTTTTCACTTCCCACTTGTCCACTTTTTTCGTTTTATGTCTATATTTTCCAAATTTTCTCTATCGTTTTCTTTCTCAGCTCTATTTATCTGTATCCATATATTTCATTTTTTAATATATTTATGCGTTTTGTTATCCGTTTATATGATCCGTGCGTATTGATGAAAGAGTAAACGAGCATAATTTAAGAAAAGCATCAACAAGGTGAAAAAGTTTGCTAAATAATTTTAATGATTGAAAATCAATTTCTCTTAGATATGCAAAATTTTATTTGTATATAATGTACTATGATTATAAAATATATATTACATATAGTAACAGAAAAAGAATTATTAATTAACACAACTATATATTTAATTATATAAAGGGATAAACTATACAGTATAATCATAATATTTTTCCGTTTAACAAAAATAAAACTTTAGGTAAACACTGGGCTGCAAAATAAAAGATGTATTGTATTTTTACGTAATTTTTATATATGTGTATATGTGTATGCGTATACATGTATAAACATATAGAAAAAAAAAACAATAGTGATTCTACATGGAATTCAAACATTCACTAATTATGCAAAAATATAATTGACTGCACTTACAGAAAACTGTATTATTCATATAAAACATTATCCTTATATATAAATTATTGTCAAAGCAAAGTTAAAGAAGGAATTTATAAACTGTACATTATAATCATTCATTAGAAGTTCATATATTAGACATTTTTTCAATGTGTCTTATAGCATCCTTCAACTTGTATACCAACTCTTGTAGCTGTTGTATGGTACATGTAAATATTACATGCCTCTCTTGATTACATTCTTTCGTACTTATTCGTATGTTATAAATTGGTACGTTGGTAAATCGAGTGCTAATCTACATTAAAAAACAAAATATTTAATTTTCATATATACAGATTAAATAATATAATTTACAAGAAATTATTTTCAAATTGTTGAATTATGGGAGCTTTCCAGCGGAGGCACAAATCGATACAAGAATTATTTTGTCTTTCTTCCTGATTATTGAACAAGGACAGAATGATTCTTGTGTCAATTTGTTATATCTGGAAAGATCTACATTATGTGAGGTAACATAATCTACGTAAAATTACTAAAGAATAGTGAATTTACCTTAACACAATGATGCAAACGCCAATCTATGTCCACTATGTGGGGTAAACTATTTCCTGTCAATTCCAGCTGAGTCTGGATACTTTGTTTATTGTTTATATATGTACTACATAGTATTTCAATTCTATGCCCATTAATGTGTTCATTATGTAGAAAATGTTTTAAGCTTTCCTCATCATAATCATGTCGAGCAGCCTCTATAAAGAGGCAGGATACATTAGCGACTGTAGCCTTTATCAGATCTGACTTGGATGGATAAACAGTTGTGATACCTGATATAAAAGATAATTAATTATAAACATTTGTATCTCAAAAATTCTTATATTTTGAGAAAAATTAAGGCTTATTTACTTTTTCCATTGTTACTTTTAGAAATATATAACATTATAATATCTAATAACTGTAGAAATGTTTCTTCGGGCAAAATGTTGTTATTTTGGATGCTTGCCAAGCCATCGATAATTTCTTTTGCCAATTCCATCTCATAATATAATATCAATACACTTTTTAATACACATAAATACAAACAAATATTTTAAAAATAACTGTTAACAAAAATAAGCTAGCTTACGCATATATACTTCAACAGTCTCAAGTTTTTGAAAATCGTAGTTTTGATTATTAGTTTTTAATAATTTATTGATAAATTTGCCTGAAATATGGACAAAAATTATATTAGGCTTATGTATTAAATATCTATTTATATGTAGTTTTATATGGACATTTTTTCATACTTGATATTTATAAATAATATAAGAAATGTTGAAATTTTTTGTTTTTATTTTGATACTGAACTATGCAAAAATTTTTTATGTGAAAATGTTATAATATTATAATATCTGTCTTTTTCGGAAAGATTTAAATTAAATACCTTTAAACAATTCTAATTATTATCACTTATTTGATACAAAATTTCTTTCTGTACTAATCTCCACCATGGAGATTAGTATAGGTTAGCAGGCGAAACTGAGACTATAGAGACACCATTCGGAATAATTGTGAATTACAGGCCCGTATTTTTTTTATTACGGCAAAAATATTAAAAAATGTAATATATTATACCATTTATAATTAACAATTTTTAGAAACGATTATTTATAAAAATGTCAAAATAAAAATTTGCTAAAGTTATATTGTATTACACACAATTAAAAGGCGCAGAAGACATTTTCGTTTATTACAAATGTTTAAGAGTCAAAATTCTGCTTATTAGTAATACAAAGAATAAATAAAAAAATTTTTTAAGAAAATATCCCCTCCCTAAAAAAAATAAAACATAAATGTCACTTTTTTCTAAATTTAAAAGGTAATCTATAAAATATAATTTCTCTAATGATAATAAATGTAATATAATAATTACAGATATAAAATTTGCAGAGAATATAAATGCAGTTTACAAAAAGAGTAAAAAAAGCTTTAAATATACTCTAATGAAAAGAAGAACACAATGCTATGTAGATAACATTTTATTAGAGTAGAAATCAAATTTCCAAAACTGATCTGGTGCGTCAACGCAACGAGCTGCTCGTACATCTTCATCACTGTGCAATTTAGAACCATCGAGACAGAGACCAGTTTCTACATGTATTATTCTGCCATCCTATGATTAAAAATCATGATAATATAATACATTTTTTAATCACTCATGAATTACATAAAAGTGCCCCCCTGTTAATATTAAAAAAATTAATATAATACCTTTGTTAATATCCATTCCTTTCCGCCTTTCTCATTGCTGCAGTCAGACATTTCAATTTGTGCATATGGTCCTGAATCAGTATCCAATATTCTTCCACAGATCTCTTCTCTCCGTAATTCACCAGACTTGCTCAATGAGAAAAACTAAAAATTACCCAAATACAACTAATTTCTTTAAATTTAAATAGAATTACGTTAATGTGATCTGTACTAGTATACATACCTGACTTGGATATAGCTTAGTATGACAATTATATAAACCTAAATTATATGGTTTATCATCATCATGTTGTAGATTGTCTAAACACAATCGTCTATTGCGCAATCTGACACGACCATAAGCTATTGCATTTTCATCAGGGATAAATTTTTCTGGGTAAACGTTATTAAGATACCACTTGAAACTTTTACACTTGAGTTTTTTCCGCAATTTCAAACGTTCGCTTATATCTCCAATAAGTTCCGGATTGTCCTGTGGATTTTATTTATCTGTATAACTGCAAAAAGATTTTAATCACGTAATGTCTGATCTTACCTTGAATTCACTACGATGAAGTAAAAATAACCTTTTATATTCATCCATCCATACAAATGCTAAACGGGCAGTATTTATTCCGTGAGTATCTTTATCGTTTGGAAATTTATATGGATGAAAATTTCGAAATATATGGCCAACCCGAGAGCAAGGAATTATTTCTAATGTGCCACCACATTGCCAAATCTGTTAGAATATTAATTTATATCAGGAATATAAAATATAAAATTTTTGACATACATGCTTATAATTATAATTATACAAGCTTATTAATAAACATACTTAAAACAAATTTCACTCACTCGGAAAGATATTTCCAAATTTTCGCCTCCCCAACCATCCATCTTATCATCATAACTACCAATTTCCCAAAAATATTTTCTATTAATAGCAAATAGACCGCCTGCCATAGTAGGAGATCTAGTTGGTGATATAGGAGAGAAACGCGATTCAACTTCGTGTTTCTGAATAGTTATCCACGTGAAATGTCCCGACCATGTAAAACCACCAACTTGAAAAAAAAACGCTTCATTATCGTGGAAGTATTCTAATGTCTCCTCAGAAATATTATCAATTATTGGCATTAGTACAGCATTTTTATTATCCTTTATTCGTTGCAGCAAAGGCTGTAACCTGCATTATGTTAAATAGTATGTATTAATAAAATTTTCTCTTATTTTAATAATTTTAGGATATAAAAAAGATATAGGAAAAAATAGTGTCTTCTAGTTGAATTGATATCAGAAAATTACCAGTCTTTAATAACTTCACAATGTGCGTCCAGGAAGACAAGAACATCGCCTACAGCATTTTTAGCTCCATGAAGACGAGCCCGTATCAATCCTTGTCTATATGGTAATCTCAGTAGCTTTACTTTGGCAGGTAAACGTGTCGAAAGATAATAATCCAATTGCCCCTGAAGCTCTTCTACAAATTAACACACAAAAAATACATTTTACATATAACATTAATTATGTAACCTACTGCATTCCAATAATATTAAATGATTATATTATTTTATTATGTAATAATTTATCTCTTGTGTAAAGATTATTTTATAGAAAAAGTATTTCGCGGGCATTACTGCTGGACTTAAAATGATGCCTGACACACAACTTATCTGGCAAATATATATTTTTGAAAACTATATACTAATATGTTAATTTATAAATTAATTATATTAATATTAATTTCAATACCTTCTTCACTATGATCGTCCACTAAAATAATTTCTTTTAATAAGTTAGGTGGAGAACCTTTCAAAACACTATGTACTGTGCGTAATAGAACACTCCATGGTTCATTATAAAAAATAATTATTATACTAGCACTTGGTAATAATTTGTCATACGTAACATTCGCACAGCTGCAATATAAAGTTCAAAAAATATTCTATATATACATTTACATTTAATTTATATACTTATATAAAAACGATCTTTTAAAAAACGCGCTATTCTATATATATTAAAATCTTACAGCGGGTTGCGTACATCTGGTAATTTTCTGGTTAATGATATCTTGTTTGAGAGAATGACATTCAATGCTTTTTTTGCAAGTGCTGCTTCACCTAGAATCTTCTCTCTTCCATATAAATAAGCAGGTTCTCCATTGTTCCCAAGACCAGGTACAATATCATGTTCAAATTTTGATATTTGTTGCTCATACCTTATAAAATATCATTTTGGTCTAATATCACATTAGACAAAATATTGTTATTTTAACAATTATTTTATTAGTATTACATCAATCAAGTATATTTTGATTCAGTAAAATACAAAGAAAGATAACTACGTAAGATTTGTGAATAAATAAATTGCTATTGTTAAAGAAAGGAGCATCAAACAAATTTACCTCTCTTTCTGTAATCTCTGTAACGCAACGTCCACATCTTTCTGTGTCTGTGAGTTATTGCTATTTCTTAGATATCCAGATTGTTCTTTAGAAATCCTGGAGTTGTCATTGGTACGAAAGAATTGTTTAGCAATGATTAAAATGCCGATTATGTACAACGTGCAAAATGACAGTTTCAGTAAAAACTTGCGGCGAGTAAGCATCATAAGAGTTTTAAAGAGTATACCATCCTGACAATTATCAGATAATTGGCATGCTGTGATTGTTAATGTTGATAAGGATATTGCCGTTAGGTTATGGTGGAGCAACACTTGTCAGATGTGCGAGGTATCACCCGTTGTATATTTCATTCATATCATGTGTACATCTGCAACAGGTGAATTAAAGTTCAGAATTAAAACATTACTACGACTCACTTCGTATGCACATTTGAAAACTATTGTATTAATGCAGTAATAACGCTACATATGTTGTGATATTAATGCAATGTACTAGATACGCTTGCTCATTACAAACATAAGAAAAAGAACGGAGAAAAAGGTTAAATTTAAATATGGATCAGTGTCCGTAATGGAACTGCTCTAACCGGTTGTACATTTAATATAGATATATCTATCTATCGCTCTCTTCCTCTCTTTCTTTTGAAAGGTCGCAGAATAAACATATGGGGTGGGTGATATCAATTACGAGATAGCCAAATCTGTCGAAAATAGATTTTGCAAAGTGATTGTTGCAAATCTTATCAGTATAGCAAGCCAAGTATAACAAAATCTGCTGAAAAAAAAAATATAATAGCATTGTGGAAATCGAGCAGAATTTATGCCATTTTATATGTTTAAATAATGTAGCCTAATAAATGAAATGACGGTTATAAAACGAGTTTCCATTGACAATCTTTTGTATGTGTCAAAATATTATAGGCAAATTCTACTCTACTGGCAGAACGGACTTAATTATAAATTGGAATTAATTTGCCCCAATATTTTTCTACTCATATCTGTTGACAAACTACAAGCATGCCTTACTAAAAATCTAAATAAAATTTTCTTGCTCTTTTACATTGCAAAGACTTGATAATTTTGTAATTAAAAATTCGTACATAAAATTAATACTTTTTATACTTTATTGCACAAGAGTTTCGTAAAAAAAAAATCCGATAGATTATTCACGTGTACATATGAATAATTAAATTAAATCTGTATACATATTTAATAACATTAAAATGCATTAAAGCAAAAATACTGTATCAAGTATTCTAATCACTGGATGTCTTTTCAATGACAGACTATTTGGTTGATTTAAAAAGTCGAGTTTTCTTCAATACAAAAATGTTAAGGAAAAGGTCATTATCTACCGTAACTCTCTCTTTCCAATCTTTTATATTACTTTAGTAATTAAACTTGAAATTCAAATTAAAAATAAATTTCACTTGAAATCAATTAAAGAATGCACTTTTCTTACCCAGTTCTCTCAAATTTAATTTGTAAAAGATCCTTTTAATTATTTATAATTTGAAAATCATTGACGTTTTAATATTTTCGATAAGGAAAAATCGATACTAGTTCAGTCTAGTAGGAATCTTATCAAAATAATATCTACGATGATTATGTAAGGATATCTTTTTAAATAAATTACTCATCTACATAAGGAAAATCATAATTACAATATTCTAAATACAAAATTATTTTGTTAATTACATTTTTTCCAATTTATTACCAAGATTAATATTGAGACATTAGAATGTCTCCTGTACATAATATTAACAGTCCCGTCTCCCCTAATAAAAATTTTA